TTAGTCTAGCTCCTACTCCTAACTACAAACTTTACTTTTCCGTACCACCTTTCTAAGGTCTTACTGTCACCACTTTCTAAGCCCAAAGTCTGTGAGTAAAGCATTTCTTACCTTCTGCTTGTAATGAGTAGCATTGCACACCTGTTTATTTGGATAATAAATTACTCTTTATCCAGATTAATAGTTCTGACTTCGGTAATGTTTTTATTATCTATAAATAGGTAATTTCAGAGCACAGTTTCTTAGCATTTAAGTGAGTTGTTGTTTCAAGGTTATTTAAGGAGTGTAAACATTGTATAGATTTAGCTTTAATGAATTGCTTCTGCCTGTTTCTAGAGTAATTCAATATTTTTAGGCTTTTATACTGAGGCTTCCTTCAGATTGACCTGAAGAAGGCCTCAGTCTAGAAACTAAAACATCGTCCCACAGTAGAAACAAGCAGGAACAATTCATTAAAGTCAAATTATACAATTTAAGTTAGTTTTATAGTTATATTATTACTTAAAACCTTGTAGTCTTCATATCAATAAGTGGAGAATCAATTTTCATCATATTAGTGACTTGGTCACTTGCCAATATTATAATTAAACTGCTGAAGAAGAAATTCCAGTAATTAATGTAAGTATCTCTAGAATATTGTTTTCCAGGAGTTTCTAGTGTTCTACATTTTGATGTCAAAGTATTTTTATCCCATTATCTTGCATGTAAAAACCTAAATAATAGAATTACTGATAAAGATGACAAATACAGAGTTTTTACTGCTTAGTATATTTATGCAGAATAGAGTTTATCAAATAAAAACTCATTAAAAATCTTCAAACTTATTCTTCTTATCACATAAAGTAAACAAATTTTAAAGCAACCTCTTGATTTAATAATTTTTAGAGGCTGTTAATATTTTCCTGTGTGTGAAAAATATTAAAAAAAATACTCTGTCTAGTGAGATCTGATATTTCATTACTTTATTTTTCATGTGGAAGTCAGTATTATGGGTCAAATTTCATGTATTCATGAATGTGTTTTAAAAAATTAATTTATAACTTATATATACATATGGCCTTAGAATATATAGAGGTTTTGAAATTATTTATTTTTTTAGGTTAGAACTTGGGGTCAGCAAAAGCAAAAATGATAGATTTAGTAAAATCATTTTTTAATGTTATATGCTTCTTACTGGATAAGGTATACTGTGCAACAGGGGTACAGAGAAGAGGCAGTTTACTGTCACTAATTAATTCTTTGGTTCTCTTGACAGAATATTATTCAAAGTAAGATACTTTGACGATTTAAAAATTTTTGGATTAGATCAGGAACACCAATCTTTTTTCAGTAATCCTTGTCTAAGCCGAAACAGTAAATGTTGAAACATTGGAATTAATTCATGTTTATATTACTTTTTTTGTTTCTGTAGCAATCATTAACACATCTTGTAGACAGCATTATTTTACTAAGGTTATTTAGAAATTAACTGATATTAGTAATTGCTGTCTGCCCTCTCTGGACTCTTGCAGTAGAGTATAATACTTAGCAATCAGAAGGAGTTGTACAAAAGCAGATTTTTCAACCATTAGGTACATTAATATTACTTTCAAAACATCCAGTCTCATTTGCATCATTTACTCTCAATGTAGGCATATATTGAAAACTCTGGACTCTTCCAGAAGAGTATCATAATTAGGAATTAGAAGGAGCATTAAAAAAATCAGGGTTCAGTGATGATACTTCCCTTCCACACACACACACACACAGTTTAACTATCTTCTCTGCATGTCCGCCAGAGAAATTTGCATGCCACTAGCACTTAGGTAACTCCCACCTAATATCATGCGATTTTACATTAATAGCACTACTGCATGATGGTGCCATTATGCAACAAAAGCCCTCTACATATGAGGGTGACACATGTCCATATATAATAACTCCCCTCTTCATTTACTCTTGTTGAACTTTGTTCTTCTCCTAGGCATTATGTTAATCAGACCTGTTAAATTTCTTGTCTGAGTTCAATTTATTGAGATTTGCATCATTAATTAAATTTTTATTTTTTGGGGGCTTTTATTTCAAAAGCTTTTTTATTTTTCATGAATTTTTGAAGACAGTGGTTTATACTTTGTTCACATTTAGGCCTTATTTCTGCTAGGGCTTTTGGAAGCTTTTTAACTCTTTCGAGACAGGTGACGGCTAAATGGCCACGTCATCTCATTTGTTGACTCATATTCCAAATTTTATTGAACTGCTATTTCATGAATTTATGTCAATAAGTTTAGTATAAACTGTAGAGTATAATTCAAATTTTAGTATTATACATTACTCAATTTCTTAATTTAAAAGTAAATTAAAAAAACACAGGTAAACATTGATTTTTGTGTGTCACATGGTATGTTCAATGCAGTACTGATTTAAATTAGATGTTTGTGAAGTCAAAATACTAAGTCTATAATTTTGTATGAATTAGAAACTCAAATTACCAATACTGACAAGTTAGAATATAAAATAAGAGCCTCTTATCTTTTCAATTTTCTAAGATACTGCTCATGTAATAAATATAACACAGCAGCACCCCACCCACCTCTTTCCATTTTTGGAAATGCTCCCTTATATACACTTACTTCTATATGTGACATGAATAACCAATCAGAAGCTAGTCCCCCTAGTGGCTTTCTCAACTATTTTAAATTCTTAGGATGCCATTTCTTTCTTTGAAACCAAGATTTCAAGGAGGTAGGTTGTGTCTTTAATCTGCTCGAAATGTTATATTTTTTTAGATAAAAATACATTTTGGTTACTATCATTGATATATGTTTGGCCAGCTGGGGAATTGGGCCCCTTACTTTCTATTTCACTTTCTAGTTTCCCATTTTTGTGTTTTTTTGTTGTTGTTTTTTACACTTTTGTATTTCCTTTCCTAACTTTGCCCCTTCACTGAGCCACCTCTTCATGCTTCAGATGGGTTTCTGCAGATGTTCATTCCCTTCTCTGTTTGATCTTTTCCCCTTCTTTTCCTTTGTCCATCTATATTTTGTTTCTCTGCTGTTGGGACTCATTTTGTTGGGTTATGTTCCTCTTTACTGTACTCCTTCCTTTCTTCTTGTGTACTTATTATTTATCTGGCTTCCTTTCTTTGCTCGGATGACTTCAGTGGGGTTTCTTTATCTCTGGTGTCCTGGACTAATGTTTTATGGCTTCTGTTCTTGCTATCTTCCTGGGTTTTTTCAAATTTGCAATAGCCCATTTTTTATTCATTGATGTTTGTGAGGGCTTTTTCCTCTGTCTTTACCTTACCCTTTAATCCTATTCCTCATCTAAATCAGTGTACTCCTGACCTTCCCATACCAGATTTCAGGCCTTCTCTTTTTCTCATCTTCCCTCTACCAAAAGTTTAGTTCATTACTCTTCTTGTCAATGACTTTTACTCCTCATGATTGTGTGAGTGCCCAGCTCTTGTCCTTCTATAGGTCTTATTTTTTACTGACAGTCGTTTTTCATTTCTCCTGTTTTCTTGTTCCTCTTCACCTCCCTCCAACCCCCATTTGTGGTCTTTTCCACCTGGTCTGTGGTTGGCCATGGTCTATGTGTCGAACGCGATCCTCCATGTCATTCTAGGCCCTTCCTGCACTTGTTTTTTTGTATGTTCCAACTATCCTTTCTCTTCCCTTCAACTTAGCATTGGCCCATTTTGTATTCACTGATGTTGTGAGGGCCTTCATTTGCCTTTTTCTACAGCCTGGGGATGTCATTCTCTTTCTCAGACTATTTACTTCTGTTGACCTCTTCTTGGATGTTTTCTCCCACCTCCTTTCTTTTACAGTGACTACTCAGTTGAGGGGAGAGGAGGCTTATCCTTGGATCTAAGTCCTTTTTCGTGCCCATTCAATATTTGGTACTTTTCACCTGTGAGTTATAGTATATCAGGTCCCTAGGTTTTATACTTCTCATTCTCTTACTGCATGAGAGGTTCTTTTGCTTTTGGGGGGGGGGGGGCTGTCTTCCTTGGACCTCTCATTCTTTTGAGTTATGCATTCATGTCTTCAACAGTGGACCTTTCAGACCCAAGGAATTATCATGGTGACTGGTCTGTGCCTGTACTATTCCTGTATCTCTTACCACTTCTCAAACCAGATGTCTCCCTTCTTTGATGCTTCCCTCTCTGATTGAAGCACATTTGTTGATAAAGGCAGGACTTCTGATATTTGAATGCTGTACTAGCATTCACTCCACATCTATGTGCTCAACCTTCTCATTATTCATTGAGCTTGTTCCCATTCCTGTCCCTATTAGTGGATCACTTGGTCATGTTCCACTCAGTCCATTCCACAGTTGTTTCTTGCACCAACCATCCATGAGGCAAGTGTTCCAGGACCTTTTGCTTTTGGGTGTTAGACATATATTTTTTGTCTCATTCATATTGAGTTGATCTTCTTCCTTCGTTTGCTAGGAGCTTAAATCTTGGTGGTGGGCCACCTTTCTCAGTCAGTCTAAATTCTATCAATGCATTCTGTCTAAGTCTTTTGTTGAGTTTGCTCTTGGATGGACACATCCCTCTTGGACTTACTTGCCACCCTTCACAACTCTGAACTTCCTGTCATATGGCCTTCTATTCTTCATCCTTCAGCTCTGGCTGTCAATTTTCTCAACCATGTCTGATCTCACCTCTTTCTATATGCCTATTCCCCCCATTGATTTCCTCCCTCTGGTCCTCAGCTTTCCCACTTCTCTCCTTCGTGGGACCTATTGTTGGTGCCTCTTTGACCAGCTTAGCCTTGGTCCACTTGCCATTTGGACACCTCTTCCTCTTCCCAATATCCCCCCTCTCTCATTTTTTTTTCATCCTCACACATCCCTTCTACCTTGAGGAATGTTTTTCTTCCATCCTCATGCGTGGAGTTTGCCTGATCTGTTGACCATAGGACCAAACTTTTCTATTGTATTTCAGTTTTCTTGTCGCCCTGCCACTACCTTTGTCTATCAACGTCTATGGCAGTTCTTTTATCATTGGTTTTTCAGCTACTCCTTTCCTTCTGCTGTGAAACATCTTTCTGCCTTTATTAGTTGTCTGGCAGCCTTGTCCATGGTATTTTTTCTTTCCTGGTACCTCAAGGTTTTTCTTTCCTTGTCTTCTACACTCTGTTCTGCTTCTTCATTCTCCTTCATCCTTTTCACCCAATTCCCATACCTATCTAAGAGGTTAGTGAGGTTTTGCATGATCTTGTTTTTGCCCCTTTGAATAGTTGTATTCCTATCTTTTTTACCATCTTTTTATCTTGACTTGGTTCCTCTTTCTTCTTCCACTGCATTTATCTACTCCTTTCCTGGGACTGTGTCCTGTTGAGCTGTTCAGCCTTATGTTGGACCTCTCCCTTAAGGGTGTCTGTCCCTATCTTTGGACTTTTTTTTTCCCATAGACTTCTTTCCTTCTTCTCACTGTTTTTGAGAAGAATACATACTATTTCTCTTTAAGAGCCCCTTTTTCATTTTATAGGATCCCACCAGGTGGCTAGTGTTGCTTTCCATGGTATACTTACCCAAATTATGCATCAAGCCAGGATAACTATCTGCCCTGGCTCCACCTGTGTCCACTGTGACATGGAGGGGTTCTGCAAGACATATATATATATATCTGTTTACTGAATTATCCCATCCAGACTATACATATTCCATGGACTATCATGGAAAAAGCCAGAAATAGCGAAGTATTCTGCCCACTTCTCTGGCTTGTTCTTGCTGGCTTTAAAAAATAAAGTTTTTTCAGTCACCCATTTCATTGTCTTCAGTAAAAGACCTTTCCACACTGAAGGACTGATAGGGATCCAGGCACTTTCTTCAGATCTCCTCTACACAAATTCTCCTCCTCTACCCCTTTCATTGAGTGGAGTATGGGAGACCCTTGCCACTTACTAATTCCCAGCCACTGAAGTGGTAGACCATGGAGAATCCTCACTGGCTGTATTCAACTGCTGGGGTGATACAAAGGAATACCAATATGGTGAAAAGTGTTAGTGTAGTGCAGGCCACACCTATTATACATCACTCATGCCACGTTTTTGCCTTCCTCCTGCAACCAGAGTTTGTTCAGTAGAGTTGAGGTATGCACATATTACATGTGGACCAATATTGCACAAGAATCCATAGTACATAAGTCATATGCCCTCCTCCCACAGTTAGATCTGTTCCCTAGAGTCTGATGGTAGGAGTTGAGGTGAGCACACATATCCATATTACATAATTCATGTGTCCTCCTCCTCCTGCAGCTGGAGTCTGTCTTATAGAGTCTGGCAGTAGAGTTGTGGTGAGCACACAAAATATGGTCTGAACATGTACCAACCACACTACACACATAATGGCCATCCATCTGCTTATGTGCAAGTACCCAAATGGTCATGTTTACATTCTGTCTGTCCCTCCAAAACACATATGGCTTCTTTGCCTTTTTATTTTACAGATGAGATGTATACCTTAGATAAGAAGAGATGCAGTCTTCTATGGGTTTGCCCTTATGGAGCCCCTTCTATTGAGTTTCACACCCCATGTGCTTCCTTCGAGTGTTTTCTGAAGGATGCTCATCTAGGTCACATTTGCACTGGTCCCTCCAACAATTCAGTGTGGGATTCCAGCTAAACTGTGTGAAGATGTGAGGTATCATCTCGGAAGTTAACATTTTCCTTACCTGAAAATGTATTTCCGATAGACACTCAGCTCTTCATGCATTCCCCACCCATCCTCTCTACTTCCAGTGTGCCTTTTTTCCTTGCCTCAATGAAGAATGAAGTTTCATGAGTGCAAGTGCATAGGGAGTGTATGGAAGGGTGTTGTCCTCCTATTGGTGGATGATTTTTCTCACATGATGGATTCATCATGCAGTAGCACAATTCAAGTAAAATCATGTGAAATTAGGTGGGAGTTGCCCCAAGACTAGTGGCAAGCAATTCTTTGGCAAATACACAAGGAAAGTGTAAACTATGTATACAGAGGTGAGTATCTATTGGAAATACATTTTCAGGTAAGGAAAATATTAACTTTTCATCTTTTACATACTTTAATGTTACTCTCAAAACATCCAGTTTTATTTGTACGTGACAGGGTTTATTATAAGTAAAAGTTGAGGATCAATAAAAGATTAAAAATGAATATGCTTGTTAGTACTGAAACAGGTGTTTTAAGTACAGTAAACTATAATTGCAGATTCTGAGTATTGTTGAATTGATTGGTATCAGTACTGGTATTTGCCTTCTGACCATACATATACAATATAGTTAGGCATCTAGTGATGATTCCAGTCCATTAAAACGACGTTATTTTCCCTGTTCCCCTAGGTAAGAGAGATGTCTACTTAATGTTTAAAACACTGGATACAAGCAGAACTAGATATCTGACACTCGATGAATTTTATCACATTTATGAAGTTGGAGCTCTCAGTTGGAAGGTAAACATAATATTCTTTACACAAATATTTATGCTATAAGGTATTAACTCTTTCTGAAGTGGAGGTGTGTTACTGATGTCCTTTATTTGTTTTCTTCTCACAGTAGAAATATTTAACCAAACTTAGTCCAAACTTACAAAATTGATGGAGTTTTGGTCAAAAAATTAATGGATTTTGAATTAGTATGTGTATTAGGGTGGTCATTATTTACACGTAAAATTTCAGCTTAAAAATTCTAAAGCTCTCACCCCCTAATTTTGTCCAGTGTACAAAGAAACATTACATGTCAAACTTTGTCCATTTTGAACCATATTTAGAGGTTGCTCAATGAGGTTGAAGTTCTATACTACAGTGGCCTGGTACCTTATGATATAAAGACATTTGTTATGTATGAATGATTTATTTAAAACATATTATTTCATTAATGTACGTTAGTATAATTATATGATTTTTGTTGTGATTAGTCATTTTTGCATTGTTATTGTTTCCTTTTTGATGTTCGAAAAGTGTCTTCTGTGATCCCGCACTACATGAAGGAAGAATTGTTTCTACTCTTCTTTCTTTATTGTGATGGCATTATACTCCTCAATAATGGCCAAACCCATTTCAGCAGTGTCATTTACATAATATTATATATATAAATAGGTGAATGATTAAAAGTAAACAAAACTATTATATGGCTTAACCCTTTCCAGGTGGGTCACAGGTCAAAGGCCATGTCATCGTGTTTGTTGACTCGCATTCAAAACTTTATTGAACAACTATATCATGAATTTATGTCAATAAGTTTGGTATCAAACTGTAGATTATAATTCAAATTTTAGTATTATACATTATTCAATTTCTTAAATGAAAGGTATATATTAAAAAAACACACAGTTAAACTTAAATTTTTATGTGTCACGTGGTATGTTGATGCAGCACTGGTTCAAATTAGATGTTTGAGATGTCAAAATACTAAGTCTATAGTTTTGTACAAATTAGGGACTCAATTTACTGATATTGACAAGATATAAAATAAAAACCTTCTATCTTTTTTATTTGCTGAGATATTGCTTATGTACTGAAACAAACACATTTCCCTGCTCACCTCTTTCCATTTTTTTAAATGGTCCCTTATATACACTTATTTCTATATTTGACATGTGAATAACCAATAACCCTAGTGGCTTTCTCAGCAATTTTTGTGTGTCAGAACGCCATCTCGTTCTTTTGAACCAAGATTTCATTTAGTCTGCTCGAAATTTCATATTTTTTTTAGACTGAAATACAGCTTAGTTACTAAGCTTGATAGATTATAGTGGAATTCTATGGTATTGATACAGTAATTTATGATCTTGTGGTTATTCAACTGTATATATATATATATATATATATATATATTTAGTTTATAAGTTTATGTCTTCATGTTATAATTTGTGGTCATTCTGGAATGAAAGAGGCACAATTTATATTTATTTACTAATTTTTTATGGTGGTTACAAGATCGGTAAAATCTACCAACCATACAGAGATTTGTTAGTGAAAATAACAGATAAAATATAAAGTTTTTCATAAGAGGCATTTAATATCTATCTGTACATTATAAATATTTCATATGTGAAATTTGAAAATGTTCTGATGAATAAAAGTATTTTTAATCTTAAAATGAAAAGTACTTTGCATGTTGGATAGGCAACATGCAAAAAGAAAAAAAAAGCATTAGAAAAACTTTACCTAATAAATCTTAAGACTTAATAAAAAAATTATATTTTGTATATGAAAGCATTGTAATTTTTACTGATAATCTGCCAATTTTTGTTAACATACACTTAATAATTTAAAAGTTAAAGCATGAAAACTATAACAAGCACAAAATGGTTATGAGGTCAGTCCCGAGGACTGAGCTCATGCTGAAAGGTATTTTAAGTAGCTGATGCAGTGTTGCTTGAAGGTGGAATCCAAATGAAGTCTGCTATTTCTGCATCTTAATTTCATTTGGAAGGGACCACTTCATTTATTTGGGTGATTTTAGAACAACAAACATTAATGTACAAGAGAAATGTAGAAATCTTGTGTGTAGTACACAGTCTCTGTAGAAATGCAGTGCATGTGTTCCTACATTTCTTTAATGTGGTTTTAGCAGAGACTGGTTAATTTACTGTTATGTACTGAAAATTGCCATGACATTGATTTAAACATTTTGGAAAAAATACATAGAAATATGCAGTTCTTGAAATTGGATTCATGTGAGTGCCAAGTCATATTATTATGCAGGAGAAGCACAGTAATAGAAGTATACAGTAGAAATAAGAAAATAAAAACTAAGCAACATCGATGTTTTTCTTCAAAGTTTGCTTTGTGCAGCTCTTGCAGGTAATTGGCTACTATGGAACTATCTAGTGATAAAGTGTTGCACAAAACATGCTTTGCAAAAGTGCGTGCACTCTTTGCATTTAATGACCCCACCCATTACTATCAAATACATGGTGGGGATGACCACCACCTAAAATGTGATGTCCAGGCCCTATAACTTTTGTTTAAGCATGGTAGTTCTTGGTAAGTTTTACAAGGATTTTTAAACTTTTATTTGAATCTTCCTCTTTTCTAATGTACTTGTAAAGCAGAATTCCGATATGGTATATTACCTCTCCTCGTAGATATAGCTATTCTTGTTCAGTGCTGTCCTCTATATGCAAAAATATTTTTCACATGCTGCAAGCCTTGAGCTCCCACATACCCCATGATCAACGTGGTTCAACATCATCTCGCATGTATATCATCATGTGACAACCCTCCACCAATAAGAGTGAAATACACCCTTCTGATGCATGTGACTCCCTCTATTCAATTCTGCAGAACTATCATTTCTGGTTTGGCAGTGCTCATGTCAGAACATTTTTCTATGTGCTATTCAATTGTGTGTTTGTTGGTTTTTTGTAACTTATTGAATTTTTTTGAAATTTTATAGAAATGTTTGGTAATTTACTCTGAAATGGAATTGTTATTCTCGTTTTCAAAAGTTCACAATAACTTATTTTTTTTACAGTTTTTATTTCTTTATGCTAACACTGATTTGTTTGGTTATTCATCTTGAATGATGAATTCCGAAGTCCAAGTTACCACTTTGAGGATAATACCATCTACCAGCACACTTAAACAGGCAGCAGATGAAGGGAACTCGACTATGGAATTATCAGCCCTAATTTGATGTGAGATTGATCGTTATATAAATCAACCTTCTTCTCCTGATATTTCCCAGCTTCCTCCTGAACATACTGAACCTGTTCGTGCTGATAAGTAATTTGACAGCTTTTTTCCTCCACCTGATGTCTTCCTATGTTCCTACTGCAGAACCATCTAGATATAATACAGCTTTTTTGGACGTGATTTCTCAGGTGTGTTCTGTTTTATCCATTTTCCCGATTTCTTATAATCCTCTTCCTTTCTTGTTACATGATACCCCCTCCTCTTACCATTTTGTGTTTCCCTCTTCCCTGCATATTAAGGTTCATGAAGAACATTTTGTATCTCAGATGCATGAGGGCATTATTATGCCTTGCCCTCCATGGGTTTTGGGTCAGTTTGCTATAGCATACCATCAGGCCATTTCTTGATTCTCAACAGTTGGAATCGATTTTGACTGTGTGGGAGGCAGATCCTGATCATACTGTTTGTTTATCTTACACCCAATTTTCCCACCTACATCTTACCCTATCGACTCTCCTATGGTACTTGTCCACTATCCTCTTCCTTTCCGAGGTGCTCCACCAAGATCCTGAGGGTTTTTTGAGGGATACCCTCTCCCTGATTACCTCCACAGTGGCACATTTGTCTTCTTCAACTCTTTCCTTACAGACATGGTTTCACTGTTGTTGGGATTTTTTGAGGAGAGATCTTGTACTGTCCCAAGTTCATTTACCACCTACTTATCTTCAGGACTTAAGTATGGCCACTTTTCTACACCAGTCTACTTTCCTGAGACTTTAGAATCCTGTATAAAATTAGTGAGATAGCAATCAACCCTTTCATCTTTGGTTGATTGTTTGTCTCATTCAGAGCTTTGACAATCCCCTATTACTGTTTTCCATCCTGTTTCTTACCAGTTCCTACCTCTAGAGGTTCCTCCACCCATTGTATTATTTGATGCAGATGAACATGTCACCAGTAGTACTGGTGACTACTCGGTTGGTTCCAGTCCAGTGGGAGCTCGCTTGACCGATCTGGTTCCTCTATGGCGAGATTCCACCACAGATCTTTGGGTATTATCTGAGAGACTTGTCATCCACTTCCTTTCCCCTCCTTTGTTATCTCAAGTACCCATATCCTTTCCATTGCCTCAGGATCCTCCCACCAGTCAATGTCTGTCTGAGGTGATACAAAATCTTCTTTCCCAGAAAGCCATTGAACCTGTACCTCATCCTACTCCAGGTTTTTATTCCAGACTGTTTGTGGTACCCAAGAAAACCAGAGAATGGCAGCCTGTGATTGACCTGTCCCACCTCAAACAATTTTTGGTTCTGCCCCACTTTACCATGGAGGCTTTTCTCACCCTCAGGTGGGCTTTTTCTCCAGGTTTATGGATGACCAAGGTAGATGTCTCAAATGCTTGTATGCATGCATATTCCTATATCTCGTTGGTCGAGGCACTATCTTTGTTCTGTTCATCACGGGGTAGTATATCAATTTCCTGCCCTACCCTGCAGGCTTGCTTTGGCCCCATATGTCTTTTGTCAAGTGGTCAAGGCTTTTGCCCAACATATGCATGCTTGGGGATTGCACTTACATCATTACATGTACAACTGGCTTCTGTTAGCTCATTTCGAATGGGAGTCTGCTCATCACACAGCAGCCTGGGTGGGTTGGTTAATCAAGTTGAAGAAGTACTTCCTTATACCTACTCAATATCTCATCCACTTGTGTATCTTTTTCAACACTCATCTCATTGGGTCCAACCTTCTCATCTTCAACTCCATTCAATAGAGCTTTCAGTTCTCCATGCCCTTACTGCTCCCTCTATTACTTCTCACAAGGTGCTTTTGCTTTTCGGGATATGATCTTCTATGAAAACCCTTATCTTCTTAGGTCAAGTGCATATGAGGTATTTTCAATGGACTCTGTATGACAAATGGAACTTTGTACGGGATCTCTTGGATACTCCTACTTCCCATTTGCATTGGTGGTTGGACAAGGCCCACATGTTGATGGGTGTTCCACTTCCTCCCGATCATTCAGATTTTCATATCTTCACGGATGCTTCCCTACATGGCTGGGGTGCATGGGTTAATCAGCAGGAAGATTCAGGTCAGTGGTCTCTGGCCAAGAGGTCTTACCATATCAACTTTCTGGAGCTTCTTGCCAGGAATCATCTGGTCATGATCCATTCTGACAATTCTATAGTGGTGGCTTATATCAATCACCAAGGCAGCACCCATTCTCATTCCCTTTGTGGTCAAACCTTCAATCTACTTTTTTGGGCCCACATGCTTGGTATTCATCTCCTTGCATGCTATGTTTCAGGTATATTCAATCTGGTCATGTATCATCCTTCCCGACTGGAGTGGTTTCTCAATCCTCACATTTTTCAGTGGCCGTGCCATCAGTAGGGTATTCCTCACCTGTATGCATTTACCACAATACCAAGGTATCTCTGTTTTCGTCTCTGGTTCCTCATCCACTTGCACTGGCTGTTGATACATTTGGCTAGGATTGAACCAACAAATACCTTTACGTGTATCGTTTCATATGTCTCCTTTCCAGGGTGATTTCAGTCATTCACTGCACTCCTTGTCAAGTTCTTCTGATTGCTCCTTACTGGCCGGTACAACTGTAAAATATGGGAGTCCTTACTACTTTCTAGTTCAAAGCCACTGGGGTGGTAGACCATGGAGGCAGCCTCCTGAATGTGATCAATATATGTGATACAAACAATGAAGAATCCATTCAGTTGAGAGTAGGATGGTGGTGTTCTGCTGGTGTAGATGACGAGATGTTCTCCAACCTGAAGCTCCATTCTGAACAGGTTTATCTGAGGGAGTGTTGTAGCTTTGGAGTGAGTCATCTAAATTGCAGTTCAATCCTTTAATTGGGATTCCTCATCCTACCCCCACAAAGATGTTTTCCAGTGGCTGGGTTTTGGATTCAGAGCTGGACCAATCAACATAAGTCCTCACACATGTACTACAGTTGTCTCGGTTCCCTCACTCAATTGACCTCATGTTCATTGCTACTGTGTTGTGGGTCACGATGGATGAACATGCAGGTTCCTACTGTTCTTCCTCATGCACTATCTCTCAAAGATTTTCATATATTGAGAATGTCATTGAACTGAGGAGTGGTTCCTGTCTGATTAGTTTTGAGTGGGATATTTCACAATACAGGGACATCTTTATTATTCTGATTGACTGGATGTCAGGTAGGATCCTCTTTTCTACCCCCCACATGGAGGTTGGTTCCCAGTGACTGGGTTTTGGATTGTAGTTGACTACCAACAGTATGATCCTCTTCCTACCCCACATGAATGTTGGTTCCCAGTGGCTGGGTTTTGGATGCAACTGACTTGCCGTGTACAGTCCGTTGTGCCATAGCCACTCTACACTTTGGGGCACATCCTTTTACTCTCACCCACATTACTGTCATCAAAAGGATTGAAATTCTCTTATAAGGTGGTTTGGATCGCTATCCAACCATTTTTCTCTTCCTTTTGGATGTTCTTCTCTCATTTTCTGCCCATATTTGTAATACCTCTTTCCTCACTGGGCATAAAGTATACCTGGTACAGAAGTGGTGCTGTATCCCACGTATGATCCCCTACTGCGAGGATCTCCCCTCTTTGGGTGTTCTTCAGATGCTTCTTTCTTTCCCTTGCACTGATCTATCCACATTTTCAGTGTGAGATTCTAGCTGTATCTGTACTATAATGTACTTTATTGTAAGCTATAATTTTACGATATTGAAAATGTATTTCCCATTTCACACTTCCCACTGTACTTTGGTTTTCCAAAGACAAAATATGAAGAGAAAGTTGTAGTCTTAGTGTACTTTTTTGACTTAAATGTTTACAAATGAGACCAAAAAACTTTTCCATGAATAATAATAAAAATATACATTGTCTCACACATGAAAAGAAAATATTGAAATGTTGGAAAAACTAGTTAAGAAAAAAACTGTAATAAATATTGATGAAAGAAAGGTAAAGTATAGGCTCAGCAACAGGAATGTTCCAGTAAATCGTGAAAATGTTAAACGTTATTGTGTCTTTTTACATATTAGTTAGTACAGATGTTAAACAATCAGAATTTAATAAGATGATGATAAGTGAAATATTTCCATTTCCAAGAAAAAAAATATAATTTAACTAGAAATAAAGCTACCCATTCCATATTATTAGGTAAAAACATTAAATTATTATTGTAGCATTTAAGTGTTGTGTATAAATATATTTAATTTTCCAGAAATAAGATGCTTTAACTTCTTTGATATTAATTTAGACAAAACCAGGCCAGTAGTACAGGAAGGAGTTGCAAAGTGTGGGGGGGTGGTGCTTGGCTAGACATGCATACCCCCCCAGAAAATTAATATAATAATATAACTTACAGTTGCTATGTAACTCAAATATATGAACAAGGTAATCCGGTTAGTAAAGCCCATCCAAATTTACCATATATATATATATATATAGATATAAGCAACTTGGTTTAAACAATGTGTGATTGCCAATTATAAACATAATGACGAAAAGGAAATTATTCCATAATCTATTTTATATCCAATGGGAATTGTTTTTGAAGGTGGTTAAATATTAGCTAGAGAAAATGTGTTTTGTTGGATAATTTGATGCCATTTAACGAAGATGTATGTCAATGGTGCAGTGATACAATACAAACAAGACTTGATATCATATTAATTTTTTATTGAATGAATTACCTTCATTGCATTCTAATAATGCTTTTATTTCAACTTCTTATACGTGTGTTTAGACACATTAATATTACAAGCCACTTTGAACTTTTAAACTTCTTTAAATGCCTTAGGTTATGCCAAATCATCTTTACTCAGCAAAATGCAAAATTATTTGCTATAACAATGAAACTAAAGAACATTGTATAAAATGTATAACTGCAGAAATTTATGTGAAATGAAACTACTTTCAACTAATTTTAAGTAGAATAACATGAATATAAGAATTATCAATCATCAAGCTGCTTATTGTGCAAGGGTCGATGGGTTTTAGTTTTGTGATGGTATGTCTGCGTACTTACAACGCTAGAAACTGGGTTTCGATACCCGTGGTGGGCAGAGCACAGATAACCCATTGTGTAGCTTTGTGCTTAACTTCAAACAAACAAGCAGTTGCAGGATTTGTTAAATTTTTGATAAAGAAAACTTACAAGTTTTTTGTTTGGATAAAAAATATTATGGCCAGGAGTTTTAATTATAGTTATTTTTGTCTATCTCCATTTCTGTTGAAGTTGACTGTGAAACCAGTATGATCAAACTTTAAATTAAAGGAAAATGTTTCTTTGCACAAATGCTATTGTAGTTTTACTAGTATAGTTTGTTTGACTTCAAGTGTGTGTTAGTTTTATTTTGCATGTGGTCAAAGCAAATAAATAACCATCTCCAATGAAAGTTGCTCTTTCTAGCATTTTTTATATTTTTGACAGTGGTTTAGTTTCTTGGTTCATGCAATTGATAATTTAAACAAGTATTAGACGAGTTTTCTACACCAGCATGAATAGTCTATTTGCAGAATTACTTGAAAATTAAATAATTCAGCTCATATATATATCAAAAACCTACCATGGTTCTTAAAATGTTATCTTTAACTTTTTCTTATGAAATTGCAGCAAGCCATATTATGCAGAAAATAACTTGTTATATCATAGAATAAGCTGCATTATACAGAAAATAATTTGTTATATTATACAGTAAGCTACATTAAACAGAAAATAATTTGTTATATCATACAGTAAGCTACATTATACAGAAAATAATTTGTTATATTATACAGTAAGCTACATTAAAGTATGATATAACAAATTATTTTCTGTGTAAGCTCCATTATACAGAAAGTAATTTATTATATCATACAGTAACCTACGTTATACAGAAAATAATTTGTTATATCATACAGTAAGCTACATTATACAGAAAATAATTTGTTTTATTGTACTGTAAGCTATATTATACATATAAACTGTTCACTCTACGGTAAGCTACAATGTACAAAAACTTTTGTATCCTACATTTAACTTCATTATACAAAAAAGTTTTGTATCCTACATTATACAGCAAAGTTGTTGTATCATACAGTAATCTACATTATAAAGAAAAGTTGTTGTATCATACAGTAATCTACGTTCTACAAAAAAGTTTTGTATCCTACATTTAACTTCATTATACATATAGTTTTGTATCCTACATTAAGTACATTATACAGAAAAGTTGTTGTATCGTACAGTATAAAGAAAAGTTGTTATATCATACAGTAATGTACAATTAAAAATAAGTTGTTGTATCATACAATAAGCTACATTATACAGAAAAGTTTTTGTATCATACAGTAATCTATGTTATAAAGAAAAGTTGTTGTATCATACAATAAGCTACATTATACAGAAAAGTTGTTGTATCATACAATAATCTATATTATACAGAAAAGTTGTTATATCATACAATAAGCTACATTATACAGAAAAGTTGTTGTATCATACAATAAGCTACATTATACAGAATAGTTGTATCATACTGTAAGCTGCCATTTTTTCTTTTTACTCATGTAGGCTCAAAAAGCAGAAGATTTATGGTTTAGTGAATTTCACAGTCCATTTTTGGAGATTTGTTCCTGTAAGTATCAGATCAATGAGTAGATTGTTGAAGTAGTGGATAGAAGTAAAAACCCCTGTACATTATCTGTAGTTTCTGATCAAAGCAAGCTACCTATATTGAACAGAACTATAAATTAACCCAGTGAACAATTTAGCTAATTTAATATACCAACTAAAAAGCAAAAAATCGTATAAACATTAGAATCCTAATTATTTTTTTTTGTGTAATCATATTTGTCTAGAGATTTTCTAAACTTCTAATTGTTTATAAACAGGCAGGGATTTCAGAGATTTAAAACAATATTTGTAGAAATGTAAAAGCTTCTTTCTCAAAACCTGATGTTTTTATTTTGTTAATAATTGGTTTCATATGAAGTTAAAATTAAGCCTGAAAATACTTGTAAATGAAACATTAGCAAGACAAAACAAAAAAAATAATCAAACATAATACTAATCTAAAAGACATTTTTATGTTTTATTTATTTCTGTGGATAAACAACTGCTTAGATTTCAGAACAGTCATATTTTTAATTCCTAGAATAATTTTTTTTAATGTAATATTATTTGCCATTTTGTTGGTAAATAACATTTAAATCATCAAATATTAAGTGTTATTTTTTTCTGTGTATTTGTTAGTAATTTCTCTCTCTCTCTCTCTTCCTCTTGCTTCTTATGGTACTAGCAATCCAAAAGCTTGTTATTTCCAGATGGTTCAACTACTTCATAGGTATGTCCAGCTATTTTCTTACGATGAAAAATGTTACTCTTTATAATAACGTATTTCAAGTTGTTCTGTAAAAGTAGAGGATATAGTTGCAGGGTTAAGATGTATTCGTGAAACTTCTGTTAATAAGGTCTGTTAAGCCTCAGAACTGGTTGTTTTTTTATCTATCCACAAAATTAATTATCTGTCAAGTCTTAGAATTGGTTGCTGTTCTACCTATTTGCAAAATTAACAAATTATTTTAAGCCTTAATATTTAATTGATTGGTATTCTATGTATATGAAATTGATAAAGGTTGTTATACAAGTTATAGAAAAGAAAGTTAATGTGTTACTGAAAAATTCATTGCACTTTGTGATGACTTGTTAAAGCTTATTATGTTAATAGACAAAAACAATTGATTAATAATTGTGCCAAAAAATAAATTATACATTAATTTAATTTTAGAATGTTTTTGGTGCATGAGGTTGAGGATCAGATGTGTTTTAAATGCTTTATGTATTTCTGTTTTATATGTATATTCAAAGAATTAGTTGATAGTAAACTTTATTGATCTGTATAGTTTTTGTTGTTCTCTTTTTAGCACTATACAGTTCAGAAAGCATTAGATTTATAACCAGTTAGTTCATTTTTTTTCTTCAATCATTTCATCATTTTCAGAGTACCTTATCATAATTTCACATTTTTGTTCTTCTAGTTTTAGTGATTATAGCCAATGGCATCTGGCAAGTTGTAGAAGCATCAGAAATATCAGGTAAAGGCTTCAACTGATGATTCCTGTTTTGTCATAAGCCTGGTTTTAAAATGTCATCTTCTGATTCTGCTCTTATATCTAGTTTTTGTATGTCTTGCTATTATGTTCTGAATGTTAAAGAATGATCTTTACTTTGGGAAGAATGTAAAACTAATATATAATTAGTATAAGTTATAAATTTATTCCTACTATTTTATAAGGTTTGTATATACCTTGAAGGAACCTGTGAATTTTGATAGACCCATTTTAAAACTGTAAAAACTATTGAAATTTGTCAAAATAGCTCCTAACCCTTGCAAATCAAGAGAACTGTAATAGTTGAATCTCTGGGGTCTATTAAACTTTAAATTATGTTACTCTATATGTTTGAAAGCACAAACTGAACTAAAAATTCATCTAAAAATATGTTTGGCAAATCGGACTATTTTGTCATGGACTGCTGATTTGAAAAGCAATGCATACTCTCCCTTGGATTTCTGCTTTGCCATCATATGTATTGTTTTCATTGTTCATTTACATGCACAACAATCAATTGCCATGTCTAGAAGTTTTACTTTCAGAGATAGATGACTAGACAAAGAAGAGTACAAGTCACAGCTAAACAAGGATAGTGGCAATCTAATCAGAGTTTTAGTTTTTGTTGCATTTGCAAAAAATCCATATGTTTGTGTACAATAAGAGACTGCATTCTTAAGAAGTCACATGAAAGGCAAAAGTGCTGTGACTTTGCCAAACAATGTGCAGAATCAGTGACAAAAATTGGGAACTTTTCTGCTAACAAATCAACCAAAAGTTCAAATTTAACAGCATCTTCAGTTTCAAAATCATTATACCTAGTTTTATTTTAAAAGTTGTCATTCAAATACAAGTGGTCAAAATAATAAAAATTATGCAGAGCATTTAAACCTGTGGTCACTGGAGCTAACCAGAAAGTAATGTTTTAATTCATGTTAGTTATAATTACTGATAATGCTTCCTCAGTAAGAAAAAAAATATGTATGTTTGTCCTTAAAATTTAATTAGCTTTATCCTTGAAAGTCCTGGAAAAGTGCTTAATTTTGTGTTAAAAATAACATGTATGAACCATGACTTGAGTTTGTTTGCCCTTCCTTTAAAAACAAAATGTAAAGAGTGAAACATGCTATGTTAACTCTAAGTTTATGGGCTATGCCCATTTGACATGCATCTCTTATGGAGAATGATACACAGTTTAACAATACTTATGATAACTCTGTAGTTTCGTAACAATTGGTAGAAAGATTAGAAATATTTTGTACACAAAGAATGAGATTATTTTATTTAAGTATTTCTACTAAAAATTCATTATTTATTTATTGTAGTTATTTGCACTCAGACTCTGAAGGTGATTTTCATGTTAAGTATAAAAATACGTTTTCACATCTTATATTTTGCATATTTCATTTGCATAACCTCTAAAACCTCCTAAATGAATATCAAACGTTTTTCTTAAGGTAAATGTTTACATATTTCTCTACCATATTACTAACTATAGCTAACGTATAGTACAAAGAAATGTTTAAAGTTAAGAAATAGAAAAATGTACATATCTTTCAACTTTTCGTAGAATAATCTTCAAAGGTCTACCTTTGATTATATTCATCATTTCATATCTTTACATGTTCATGTATTGTTTATTTTTAATGTTTTATTTTCCTTTCTTGTCCTTTAGTGTTCATTATTATTCTCGACACATATTAATGGAGTCCTCTAATATTACTGTATCACCAATAGAGATACTTTAGCCTTTGGCAAAGTGTTCTTATACTTGCGCACTGGTAACCCTAGTTCAATCTTACACATTGAGAGGATAGGCAAATTTATTTTTGTAGATTTTATAAATGCATTCTGACATATGAAAAGTTATAAATTACTAGATTGATACAACAAAAAAGCACTTTAACTTAGCTGGCTTTCTAACTAAGCTATATAAAGTCTAAAAATTTTCGTTTCTGTTTGGACTATTAGCTTGATCGTAACTCTTCCAACTCTCCAGTGATATAACGATGATTCCCATGTCAATAATTCAGGAATACTTACAGTATTACATAGTTTAAAATGAGCACCTTTTATAATTTCCTTGGCATACATTGATTGTAAAGTTGCTTATGTCAGTAAAGCCTCTTGACATCCACAGAAAAAGGTGCCCAAACGAGCTCATTAGCATAGAGTTAATGGATCAGATGTGTGTTATAGATAGCATGCTCAGATTGTGCTCATGTTACAACTTTTTTAGAATGTTACATTCAAAATATAATTAAACTACCTCATTATCATGATATACGAATAAACTTAGCATAAAAATGTAGTTAATAAATCAAATTTTAATATTATATTAGTTTTAAGTTTTTAATTTTATAAGGAAATATTTTTAAAATCCTCAATCTCACTGTAGTATGACAGTTGTGACATTTGCTTTCTAGGTATTTCCTCTTCTCTAATTTATTTACCACTCCTCTGAGAAGTATGAAATTTCATGTATATTACTCATTATGTTATAGTTATCACACAGGTAAAGCATAATTTTTAAAGCCTTCAATCTTATTTGGTTACAGAGCCAAGAAGTAGAAAATCAGACCCCTCTTGTCATGCCCACCTATCACATCCTCTCTTTCACAAATAGCCAATAGTTATCTCTGATGTTTAATACTATATTACTTATAAACAACAGAAAGCCAAAGTTTTAATCTAGACAATGATGTATTATATTACATTGTTTTCTGTACAAAGAATTGTCTGCTTTTAAATGTTATTATTCTGTATTCTTTTGTGCATTATTTAATTACGTAAAAAAAAATATTTACTCTAGTGGTACCACTAGTGTAAAAAAGTAGGGTTAAGTTTCATCAACAGTTGACAGAAAAAAAAAGATCCAGGTAAGTATTATATTTCTTGTTTTTCAAGTGTATTCCTTATTTATTATTATAAAAGTAACTAAAATTTAAAAATATTTGTAACTTAAGTAGATAAGTTTAGATTAGGTAAGAAAATAATACCTCATGAAAGATTTTCATGAGGTACGCTTGCAGGTAGCCTCTGCCTTGCATAATTCAATAGGGTAAGGTGAGCTACACATTAACCAAGTGATTTACAAACTGTG